CGCGGAGGCCGTCGGGCTGAGGCCTCCACCGACCTTCGGCTGCTGGGGGCCGCCCGGGCGGGGCGAAGCGGGAATATGGCGGCACGGCCTGCCTTTCCTCGCGCCGGACCCGGACCGCGACCTCCGGCCTCCACCCGCCGACGCCGCGCTGGCCCCGGCTCCCCGCACGGCGCCCGGGGTGGCTCTGCAGCCCGCTGCGTTCCCGGCTCTGTTTCTGAAACGCCATTGGGGCAGAAGCTGCCTGGCGTCGCCTCAGACCCCAGATCGGTCTTGGGAAGTAGGATAGTTTGCACTGGGGAAGAGAAGGGATCGCCCCTGGCTCCTGGAGGGGACCATGGCGACACTGCCCTCCGTGTCTTCAGAGAGGAATCTGAATCCTAGAGAAAAATGAAGCTGCCCGAGGTTCCAAGAGCCTCGCTCAACTTTTCGTACCGCTGAGGGGGTTTCTGTTACCTCGCCAGTTCTCTCGTTTCTGAAAAGGCACAACTGTTTAACAGCCAAATAATAGAATCGACCTTTCTAAGCTGAACCGATTAAGGATGATTGGGGGGCGGGGGGAGTACCTAGTGTGGCTCACACCCAAAATCTCAGCACTGGGGAGGCTGAGACAGGAGGGTTGCCAAAAGTGGGAGGCCAGACTGACCTCCAGTGTGAGACCTGGGAAGGGTGAGGAGAGAGAGAATAAAATGGGAAAACATGGGGCCATAACTAGAACAAAAGTCTATTTGGTCTTGCAATTTTGATTTGAGGCAGTTTGCTGATAAACAGGAAAAATATCTTGCTCATTCCGGTTCTATTTGGAAAAAATTCTATTCACTCAATTTCTGTTTGGTCTCAGAGCTAACAGGAGAGGTCCCTATTATTCCGGCCTCATACGATCTGAGGTCCTCACATGCTGTCTGTGGCCTGTCTCTGTTGTAACCTGCTTATCCAGGCTGCAGTGTAAGGTCAGGATGGGACTGTTGCTGCAGATTAAGAATGTGCATAGAGTCTTGGACTACCCTGCCTTTATCCTTCATTTGCCATATCCTCCATCCCTCGATATGAGCAAGTTGTGCATATAAAATGTGTAATTTTTTCAAGGATATTTGATCAGGTGAGCACATATCACCCTTTTATATGAATGCCTTCAAAGAGCCTCTAGACTTACTATGAAATGAAAACAGAAAAGATTCAAACTCTACAGAAATGCAAAATGGCTTCAGGAGAAAATCAGAAGCTTGAATTCTATAACATGGCACACACGTGTCTGTGTGTGCTTGCGTACATGTGGTGTGCGTGTGTGTGTATACTGGAGAGACACAAAACTGGAAAACCAAATGATTGGTGTTTTGTGTCTAGTTTCCTAGCTAAGGAGCCTCTGAGACTTGAAAACATCTTTCAAAATGTGTCATTATAGCTCCTGGTAATACATTTTGGCTTAATTGACCTATTTGTTTTGTCACCGCTGTGTCCTCAACATCAAGGACACCCCCTGACACCTAGCAGATATTTAAAATGATAAAACAAGTCCCTAGGAGAAGGTGAATATAGTGGAAAGAAATCCGGAAGGAGTACCAACACTACATGATAAAACCATATAAGGGCATTAAGAAGGAAACAGGAAGAGAAAGTTCCAAGCATGTGCCTGGATCTATCCAAAACCTTTCATAGTATCTGGAAAGCATTTGCCAAGCAAATATCCTTACAACCACCGAAGTCAAACAAATGCAATTCATACAGAAACTCCTGATGGTGTTGAGTATGTTCTAGAAGAGTATCCTCTAAATTAGGCAACTAAACAAAGGCTCACATTACAAAATTCCAGTTCATTAAATGAACAACTGTGGATTAATGCAATGAGTAAGCAGTGAGGGCACAGAGAGGGGCACTACAACTGCAACTCTGTTCTTGCCCTCCACAGGCATATAGTCATAATGGGGGCTCTGAACAGCTGTAATAAAAGATAAATGGAATCAATTTGTATTAAAGTTGAGGCAGATTTTAAAATAGCAAACAACCCTGTTTAGGAGACTTGGAAAAGACTGCACAGGAAAAGGGGATTTAGATGCACTCTAAAGAATGTATGTGGGTTTAGCTTGGTGTGCTGCCCCACAGGTCTGTGATCCCAGTTTGCGCTGCTGAGGGAGACTCTGGAGGGAGGAGGAAAGGGAATGAGGAACAAAGGAAAGGTTTTCAATGAACATATGTCTGCACAACTTAAAATAGCAGTCCCAAATCAAAACCACCCAGAGACAGTACAGTGATAAGCCATTCTGAGAATTCAAGGCCAATTACCATATGGCTGAAAAGCAAACCACAAAATCCTAGAAGCTAGAACTTCAGAGACAAAAATGACTTATCTCTTTTATGGTACCCTGAGGCAGATACCTACCCCACAACCTATCACCCTGCCTTTGGGGAACTGGAGAAGAAGAGAAACACATACTGAAGTCTCATGGAGTGATTCCAGAGTCCAAGAGTAAAAAGACAAGCTCTTCAAAGATCTCTGGGAAAGAAAGGCCTGCGGGGGAATCCAGCAAGCAGCCCATATATGGCACATCTATGTGCAGAGTCACTTAGCAGGGCTGCTTCATAGCATGCTTTCTACCACAGTATCTCTTCCTCTGTCTCTGTCTCTGTCTCTCTCTATATACGTGTGTGTGTGTGTGTGTGTGTGTGTGTGTGTGTGTGTGTGTGTGTGTGTGTGTGTGTGTGTGTGAATGCTCCTTAAGAACAGGGACTTTATCTCTCATGCTCTCAAGGTACCCAAAAGAGTGCTTAGGCTAGAACAGATAATCTTTAGGTGATAAACAAACACAAACCACCACCTACATCACTAGCAAACACAGTTGCAGACTGCCTCTCAGGCAGTGTATTATGCTAGGTGCCTGAGGCATACAAAGTTCTTAAAGACTTTATAATCTATTTGGCTAGACAGTGCACATAGATAAAAGGATAAACAATACAAAATTAGCAGTCCACATGAATAAGAGAATAAACAGACAATAAACAAGGCAAAATGAGAAGCACTTGCTGCTAGTTTAATGTGTTGAGAATGACTTGTTAGCCCAGTTTACTTGAAGTGGTCATCCCAGGAACCATTAAAAGCAGCCAAAGAAAACGTGGGTAGGCACGGGACTGGCACCCAAAAAGCCAATTTCAAAATAAGCCCTAGGCATTGCTGATTCTACAAGAGATGAAAAAGAGCTGCTCTGTGCAGAATGGCCAGCACAGCTGCCTGGCCAGGAAAAAATAATGGGTTGATTCCTCTGGAGGAAAGTGGGCCCAGGAAAAACCGGGGAGCTGCGAATGGCGCCACCTAGAGGAAAATTCTAGTAACAGCAGAAAGAGTATGATTCTTGCAGAGTTCCAGAGCCAGCTTGAAGATAAACCTGACCCGGGCATCAGTATATTCTTCTGTAAGAGAAAATATACACATTTCACATTAAAAAGATATTCTCGATAAGACAGAGTGCCCCTGCCGTCCTTCCTTTACCAAGCCCTAAAAATTTATGCAGATGCCTGTAGGACTTTATCCAATTTTATTTTGTGCCTAATCAAGGTTAGCATTACATGGGAAGCATAAAACTTCACAGAGTGGAGACTACCAATGTCCCACCAGACGAGAAGGACATAACAGGCTGGCCATATAGGAGCTTTTTGTTTTATGGTCACAGCCATGATTCATTTTTTAATTGTTGCTGACATACTAATTGTACAGATTAATGGTGTTCCGTGTGATATTTCTGTACATGCATACAGCATGCACTGATCAAAACCAAGCTCTTTTTCCACCACCATGCCTGCTTTCCCTGCATGTTCTTCTCCAACTCTAGTAACCACTGCTCTCTTTCGGGTCAGCCTTAAGATTCTATAGATAGGAGAGGCATGCAATGCTTCTCATTCTGTGTCCGGCTTATTTCAGATTAACTTGACATCTTCCAGTTCCATCTGTTTTGCTATTAATGACAGGATTTTATTTTTATTTGTTTTGTTTTTGAGACAAGTCTTGCTATATACTCCAGGCTAGCCACCATTCCAGCTTTAAAATTTTATTTTTCTTGATTACCGAATACTATCATATATATATATATGTATATGTATATATATCACAGTGTATTATGTATGTATTATATTTCCCTTTGCTTTCGTTCTTTTCTTTTTTAGCTCCAGCTGGCCTCAAACTCACTATGTAGACCAGCTGGCCTTGAACTCAGAAATCCATCTGTCTCTGCTTCCTGAATGCTGGGATT